TTTAATTATTTTTATTTTATATGTATGCGTGTATTGCCAGCATATAGGTTAAGTGCACCCGTGTGTGCAATGCCCATGGAGAACAGAAGAGGCTGTCGGAGCCCCTGGAACTGGAGTTACAGACAGTTGTTAGCTGCCATATGGGTGCTGGGATTCAAACCCGGGTTTTCTGCAAGAACAGTCAATATTCTTAACCACTGAGCCATCTCTCCAGCCCCGAATCATAAGTTTTGTTTTTGTCTTTTTGAGACAGGGTCTCCCTATAGCCCCAGCTGGCCTGGAACTCACTATGTAGATCAGGCTGGTCTTGAATCACAGAGCTCTAACTGCCTCTGCCTTCTTAAAGGTGTGCACCACCATGCTTGGCTTCTATTTTTTTTTTAATGTGTATCTGTTAGTATATATGTCTATGAAAGCAGGTGCATGAGCATGTAGAAGCCAGAGGACACTAGATGTTTTTCCTCCATTATTTTCCAACTTTATTCTTTTATTTTTAATTTGTATTTATTATTTTTATTTTATGTGTATGCATGTATTGCCTGAATGTAGGTAAGTGCACCCATGTTGTGCAATGCCCGTGGAGAACAGAAGCGGCTGTCAGATCCCCTGGAACTGGAGTTACAGGCAGTTGTTAGCTGCCATGTGGGTTCTGGAATTAGAGCGCGGGTCTTCTGCAAGAAAAACCAGTGTTTTTAACCGCTTAGCCATCCCTCCAGCCCCCCAAATTTATTTTTGAGACAGGGTCTTTCTCAGAATCTGAAGCTCACTGACTCAGCTAGGCTTGCTACACACACACAACACACACACACACACACACACACAGAGGGTGGGCGAAGCAGTGGAGTGAAAAGTGTGTGCTGCTACACCCAGCTTTAATGTGAGTTCTGGAGATCTGAACTCAGATTCTAATGCTTGCATAGCAAGTACTTTACTGACTGAGCCATATCCCAAGCCTTCCTAAGTTTTTCTAAACTTGCAACTAGAAAGTAATCAATATAAGCCTAGGAGGTATAGGTCAGTGGTAGAGAGCTTGCCTAGCAAGTGCAAGTCCCTAGATTCAATTCCCACCACCACCCAAAAAAAAGAAAAAGTAATCTACATACACAGTCATCAAAATAAAGAGCCTCTCCCAATGACCTAGCAGGAGTCTTCTCAACCAAACCAGATATATTCACTTATCTCAATGTACACACATTTAAGTTTTAACTGACTGCTTTCAGGGGGTGAGTAGGCAGTGCTGGGAACCAAACCCACAGCCTCATTACTGAGCTACATCCTTAGCCCCCAGTCCACTTCTGATTAAATGCTTCCAGTTAAACATCATAGGCAAGAAAAGAGTCCTTGTGCAAACCATAATCTAACATCTCCTGCAGTTCACTGACATGGTTATTATAGTTCTTACTGTCCAAGAGCCCCAGCTTCAATTCTCTGGTCTTCCTTCCTTTACATGGAATCAGGGTGAATTAACTGCTTTTAAGCATATTTGGTAAAATCCTGCAATTCCCCTAGCTGCTTGTTTGTTTGTTTGTTTTGCTAATGTGCAATATTGAAGATAGCTGCAAAGGGCAAACCTTGGCCTGGAACCACTGGGGGTATGGACAGCCTCTCATATTATCAAGGTCATGCTGCCAGGGGCCCTACCCTAAAACCCCAGAAGAATGGGCTGTCAAGAAATATAATATGCATGTGGAAGACTACACACCTTACCCAAATGATGGCACAAGGCATGGCGACTCTACCCAAGGCTCCCTGACTGCTCACAGCATGAGATCCATAGTATGAGGGGATCACTGAGACCTGAGGTTGAAATGCAGTGAACCAATTACACTGGGACCTAGACATGTATATCAGGAACCATGTGAACACATCTCCTACACCTGTTTCTTGGAATAACACATCTCCTACACCTGTTTCTTGGAATATCACGTGTAAGTAGCTCTTTGGTTTCATGGTCTTCATGCTTTTAATGTTCTGGGTGGGGGATACTTTCTCCTACCAATCTGTGGGGCCGAAGTAATAGCCTTATAATAATCTGTACCTGGAATGAAGCAATGATTCCACCAAAGAACCTGAGCTGGTGGTTCACTACCAGATCTGAGGAGGCTTTATTGGCTTTTTTTAATGAATAAAATCCCTAATATGCATGACACGGCGCGCTTACCTACACGCAGGCAATACATTCATGAACACAGATGAAATGATGATTCTACTTCTATAACATTTTCAAAATTACAAAAGTATAGAAAATATATCCGTGAGCCAGGTGTGGTGATGCACGCCTTTAATCCCAGCACTCCGGCAGGCAGAAGCAGGCAGATCTCTGTGATTTCAAGGCCATCCTGGTCTATCTACATAGTGAGTTCCAGGCCAGTTGGGGGTACAGGGAGACCCTATCTCAAAAAGACCAAAAAAATAAAAGAAAGAGAAAGGGGAGAGAGAGAGAGAGAGAGAGAAAGAAAAGAAAGCCTGGCGTGATAATGCACATCTTTAATCACAGCACTTGGTAGGCAGAGGCATGTGGATTTCAGGGAGTTCCAGGCCAGTTTGGTAGTCTACATCGTGAGTTCCAAGCCAGCTAGGGCTACAGGGAGATACTGTCTCAAAAAAAAAAAAAAAATGCCCAGGGTCTAGAGAAATGGCTTCACTGGTTGACAGCGCCTATGCTTTTCCAGAGGACGAGAGTTGAATTCCCAACACCCAAGTAGTGTGGCTCACAACTGCCTATAACTTCAGCTTGAGGGGATCTGGCACCTTTATGCTTTTCCAGGGGATGAGAATTGAATTCCCAACACCTAAGTAGTGTGGCTCACAACTGCCTGTAACTTCAGCTTGAGGGGATCTGACACCTTTTGGCCTCCAGAGGCACCCACATACACGTGGCATATACTTACACACATATATATATGCATATCCATAAATAAAAATAAATCTAAAAAAAGAAGCCCAAGCCCTTGGCCAGAACACAAACTCTTTTTCCAATTGGCTCATCCTGATGATCCCCAGGGAACCATGCATCTCACCAGATAACTTATGGATGTTCTCACAAGCATAAGCTTATTATGCCATTGTCCAGAGCCACCTGGAAAAGTCCTCAATACTAGGCCAAAATACTACTGAGAAGCAGTACTCACTGCATGGAGTTTCAGGTCTGCTAATAAGCAATGATACTTTCAGTTTTGGATCATTTATGTTCAACACACACACACACAGGGAAAGAGGAGGGAGAGTGGGAGGGAGGAGGGAGGATCCCAGAAAAGTGAAGAACACCCTCTTGTATTCTAGCCTTTCAAACTCAACACTAGAATAAGCAGTAGAAGACTTACCATCATCCCTGAGAAGATGCCCCCAACTCCATCCACATATCTAGCCTATGCTAGATCTACCTAGACATTCAGCTAGCCCAGCATTCTAGGAAAGTCAGGGATGTCCATTCTTCCCAGGAAGAAGTCCTAACCAGAGCCAATCTAACTCTTATTTCCATGTATGGAATTACCAGGCAGCGATTAGACAGGGCAGGAAGAAACACTCAGATAGCTTGCAGTCAGGGCAAAAATGAGGACCAGTACAAGAGGGCATGTTGGTGCCCACCCAGAAACCCAGCACTTGAGAGGCAGACAGGAAGATTTCTAATCCAAGGCCAGCCTGAGCTATACAGCAAGACCCTCTCTCCAAAACCAAAATCTCTTTTCTCCACTACCAAATTAGTACAAAAGTTCAAAGAACACACTGGAAACAAGAAAGAGACCTGTATAAGAGAGCACAGCACTGAAAAAGGAGAAGGTCAAACCTAACATACATTCTGATTGATGACAAAAAAAAAAGTTTGCTTTCAATCATATCAAAGCAAAAAGCTAAAAAGAAAAGTCAGACTCCTGACAGGTAGTTGAATCCCAACTAAGTCTAGATTGCCAGTATCCAAAATCAGTCCATTATAGACAAATCTGTGACAGGTTAAAATTATTAGGAAAAGACACAAAATTGAAATGCTACTCCTTTAGAAAAAGCCAGCTGTTAGCCAGGTGTGGTAGCACACACCTTTAGTTCCAGCACTCAGGAGGCAGAGGCAGGAAGATCCCTGTGAGTTCAAGGCCAGCCTGGTCTACATAGCAAGTTTCAGGCCAACTGGGGCTACAGGGAGACCCTGTCCCAAAAAGACCACAAAAAAAAAAAACAAAAAAAAAAAAACAAAAAAAAAAAAAACAAAGAAAGAAAAAGCCAGCTGCCTTCTCTGTCACAGGCACAAAGAATCGATGAAGACCAAGCAACATCACAAGGATGCCTGCCTCCATACTGGTATTAGGGCAGCTCTTATCATGTCACTTCTGCCACTTAAAGGAGAAATGGACATGGGCCATTATCTGGATCTAAGAGCTCTTGAGGTAGGCTTCTGTCTCCTCAGTTGTGCCCACTGGGACTGGAAATGAACAGCTGGGTAGAAAACAACTACAAGTACACTACACTTGGCTGCTAGAGTAGGACCAGATGCAGGGTCCAGAACAAGCCCATGAATCTGAAGTTGTTGTGTACACAGAACTACAAATTCGATTTCTTAACTATATTTCCTATTTATTCAGAAATGACCTCAACCAGGTTCCATGTGGGAAACCATTAAAGACTTTGATCTTTAACATGGTGAAGTAATAAGCAACAAAGGAGGCAGGCTTGGCAATACATGACTTTCAGGACATGCCTGAATCACAGGTTGACTGGCCAAGGCCAATGGGAGTGAGGATTATTGAGGTGTAGCCCCAATGAGAGTAAGCTCAGGTCACTTAGCTCTGACAGCAAACAGTTCAAATTCCATGACTGACAATCACTTTTCAATTAATTTTTGAAATGGAAGATGCCCCAGCCCTACAGATCATCTTTCAGAATTCTCTACCCAATGGCTTAGCATCCTGAAAACAAAGTCCTTCCCAGTCTCTCAGCTGTTACTATTACTCTGATGGACCAAACAGATGAGGCAAGCAGAACAAATGTTCTCTTCAACAGTGACTTACCAGGAAGTCTGTTCATGTTGACACCTTGCGCTGAGAGTCCTATTCCCATGTACCTTCAAAAAAAAGCACACAGGGGAATGAGTGAGCACAAGATGTAATAACATATATGTATGAGAGGCCACGATGAAACATTACTTTGAATGCTAGCCTAAAAATTAAGAAAAATTTATATTCACAAAATTTTTGGTTATCAAATGATTATGTATCTCTCCTCAACTATTTCTTAGTATAAGGCAGAAAAATGGTAAAAGCAATACAGTATATGGCTCTCAGAGAACCTTCATGTCTTTATTTTCATCCAAGTACTAACTGCCCCCATCTCAAAGAACCTTTTTATTTCTATTGGGAAGCATCTTAACACCTTTGCAACTACAGAAATAGGAAGGTCTACAAGACAACTCAGTAGGTAAAGGCAGCTGCTGCCAAGCCTAAAACCTGAGTTTGATTTCTGGGACCCACAGGGTGGAAGGAGAGTACTGACTCCATCAAGTTGTCCTTTGAACCCCACATGTGTGCTATGATACACATTCATGTACACACACACAAAACAAACAAACAAATAAATAAATGCAATCTTAGAAATTTTAAAAAGAGCCAGGCATGGATCGGGTACCTCGAGGGAGTGCCCGGTGGCTTGGAACGGAACCCGCCTGGAAGCGCAGTGACCAGTAGAGTCACCAGCATCCAGTAGTCGCAGAGAGCCTCAGCAACAGGGTGCGCGACACGCGCGCACCCCAGCAACGCTGAGAGCCAGGAACCCGAGCAGCAATGCGGCGCGCGGGACCCGCCCCAGGGGCGAGAGACAGGCGCCAGCCAGCAGTTGGCGCTCCGCAAAACCCACGCGCCCATATCTGGCGCCCAACGTGGGGCCTCCGAACTCCGCGCCCCCTGAAATGCAGAATTCGTAAGTATCTCTCCCACCAGGAGAGGGGCTAGTTAATTTAAATTCTCACCTAATTGGTTTTAGCTGCAGTCTGAGTGCCCTGGGGGGCAGGATAACAAAACCAATTAGGGAAGTTTATTTTAGAAGGAGAAAAAGAGAAAATGAGATGGCCAGGCCCCAAGGGTGGGGAGGCTTGAAGGCACAGCTGCCTTTTTCAGTCTCCTGATGGGAGATGAAAGAGAGATTTGCCAGGCCCCACGAGTGGGGAGGCTTGGAGGCACAGCTGCCTTTTTATTCTCCTGATGGGAGACGAAAGAAAGAGAGATTTGTCAAGCCCCACGAGTGGGGTGGCTTGGGGACACAGCTGTCTTTTTATTCTCCTGATGGGAGACAAAAGAAAGAGAGATTTGCCAAGCCCCACAAGTGGGGTGGCTTGGGGACACAGCTGTCTTTTTATTCTCCTGATGGGAGACGAAAGAGAGATTTCTGTTGCTCTCCTGGTGGGAAAGATACGAATTCTGTGTTTCAGGGGGCACCAGCTGCTGGCTGGCGCGGAGTTCGGAGGCCCCACGTTAGGCGCCAGATATGGGCGCGCGGGTTTCGCAGAGCGCGCTGTTGGCTGGCACCTGTCTCTCGCGAGCTGCTGGGGCGGGTCTGGCCCGCCGCGTTGCTGAGGGTCTCCACGGCTACTGGATGCTGGCGACTCTACTGGTCACTGCTCTTCCAGGTGTGTTCCGTTCCAAGCTACCGGGCACTCCCTCTAGGTTCGAGATCGGTCAGCCGCGGGGTCACGAGGGGAGGTGCAGGAACAGCGAAAGCAAAATGGGCTAAAGCGAAATCTCCACGAGTCCTTGTTTACGAAAGGACAGCCCCCTCTGGAGAGACTGAATAAGAGACTGGTACAGCTCAGCTCCTGATGCAGCTCCAATTTATTAAGGGGAAAACCAGGATATTTATAGTGTGAAGGCAGTGGCAAAAGCCTTAGTTGATAGGTGCTTTGTAGGATGCCCCATTTACATGTGGTGGTGGGCTTCTGCTAGGCTGTCAGACATTGCCTGATTATCACACAGGAAAACCTGGCGCCAGAGGCCATGTATCTGTGATGGCTACTTCAAAGATGAGTCAGGAAGAGAGTAGGGGGGCACCCTGCTGAGAAAAGGAGTCTCTGCATAAGAACGCCGAGCCCCTTGGGCTATCCGGACATGGAGAGACTTCGACTTAACACAGCAGGGGTCCCCAACATGGTGGCACATGCCTTTAATCCCAGCACTTGGAAAGCAGAGACAGGTGGATCCCAGTGAGATTGAGGTCAGCCTAGTCTACACAAGGAGATTCAGACCAGGTGGAGCTACAGGGAGAGTCTATCTCAAAAACCAACAACAAACAAAACAAAACAATTTAAAAAGAAACAGGAGACAGTGTGTGTACCAAGACTCACTGGTACTGTGTACTGAAATCATGGCTTCCAATCTTCTGGCTTTCTGGTTCCAACTAGGGCAAGAAAATCTACTCCTTAGAAGTAGCTAAAGACCCAGAGAATGGGAGGCAGAGCGATGCAAGGTCAGACTCACTCCAGCAAGAACTAGGACACTGAAAAAGTGCAGCCAGGATGGATGTGTTCTGGATTATCAAGAGCCCTGACAGCTTCTCCCCAGGATTACCCTCCTACCTACACATTGATGGCTGGCCTCCTAAATCACACAAAGCAGGGAGGTGGTAAACTCAGCTCCCAAGACGACCCCCAGACACACAATCTTTCCACCCCAGGTACCTAAATAAGCTATGCAAGGCAAGGTGGGGCCCTTCCTGTGGCAACTTTCAAAGATTCCTTAGTGGTACTCATGAGAAAAGGCAGGTCAATAAAAGGAAATATCACTTTTAGTCTAAATGTTTATAGTACATAAACATCTTGAGGTATTTCCTCAAGAACTTAAAAATAAGACTCAGATAGGCATGGTGACACACACCTTTAATCCCAGAGCTTGGGAGGCAGAGGCATGAGGATCTCTGTGAGTTCAAGGCCAACCTGGTCTATATAGTGAGTTCCAGGCCAGTTGGGACTACAGGGAGACCCTGTCTCAAAAAGACCAAAAAAATAAGTAAATAAAATTATAAAAGACTCAAGTAATCATAATATGTAATATAATATCTGATTCTAAGCACATATGAACATCTACAGGCAGCTGAGATACTCAGAATACTCAAAATATCCAAACACCATCCAAGGAGGTGTTTAATAAAATATTAAAAAATATTTTATTGTCAGGTGTGGTGGCGCACGTCTTTAATCCCAGCACTCAGGAGGCAGAGGCAGGTAGATCTCTGTGAGTTCAAGGCCAGCATGGTCTACATAGTGAGTTCCAGGACAGCTGGGGCTACAGGGAGTCCCTGTCTCAAAACGACCAAAAAAAAAAAAGGCTTAGTTGCCTGTATTGAATTTGAGTTCTTTATAAATTCAAAGCTATTTTATGTGTATGAGTGTTATGCCTGCATGTAGGTAAGTGCATCCATGTCATGCAATGCCTGAGGAGGACAGAAGAGGATGTCAGATCCCCTGGAACTGGAGTTACAGACAGTTGTTAGCTGCCATGTGAGTGCTGGAATTCAAACCCAGGTCTTCTGTAAGAACAGTCAGTGTTCTTAACCGCTGAGCCATCTCTCCAGCCCTGAAAATATCACATTTTTAAAAATGGTGTTTCGGTGTGTGTGCATGAGTATATTTGAGGGTATGTGTGCATGCGTGCGTGCGTGCGTGTGTGTGTGTGAGAGAGAGAGCTAGAGGTTGACATCAGGTGTCTTCCTCAATCTCCACCTTATTTTTGGAGACAGAGTCTCTCACTGAACCTGGGACTCACTGACTCAGCTATCCTGACTGATCAGTAAGCTCCAGGACTCTTCCTGTCTCCACCTCCCCAGCTCTGGGATTACAGGTATGCACTGCTACGTCCAGATTTTTATATGGGTGCTGGAAATACAAACTCAGATCCTCGTGTTTGTGTAGTGGGTATTTTACCAACTGAGCCATGACCCCAGCCCTGGAAAAAAAACAAAACAAAACTGAAGTACACAGAGTTGCCTTAATCTCCCCGATTCCAAATGGTTCTATATTCACACTCTGACTGTCCTATTATAACTTTACAAAGAACCTTTCCACACACATCTCCTCATCTTAGACTATTCCTCCTCTGCTATACTCCATGCATGTACCTGTATACTTCTCTTTCCTAACACTCCCAGGATCCCCATACCACAGTGGTCCTGCCTCTGCCACTCGCTCATATGCGGTGAATGCCCCCTTTTCTTTCTCTAGTTGTCTGCAGCACTGGATTTTGAGGGAGCAGCCTCTAATCACCCAAACAGAAGAGGGCAGGAATGCAAGACCCACCCATCTTCCTTTGAAATCAACAGTCCCCATGATGCTGGGCAGGTATCAAGAAAAGACGCAGGCTAGCATATGGCCTTGATTAATTTAGCCCACAGTGCTTAGAGGAAAGGAGGAGAAAAACAAAAAGAGCCCGCATTTGAAACAGGTAAGGCAATCCAGAGCTCAGTGAAAACTTGGTGTCTTTATTTTAAGCAGCATTTAGAAGACAGGGTCAGATCCTTTGAAGTCGAAACAGATGTGGGCTAATACATAGCCTGTACTGGACAGAACTGCTCAGCCCATCCATAAAAACACATATACCGACTGCCAGAATGGGCCAGCTTCTAGGACCATCAGGAGCAGGAGCTGTGTGAGCCTGCTGGACTCTAATGAGTCCCATTAGATTAAAACTTGCACATTTTCCCAGAAAAACAGCAGCCTAAATAATCAGTGTCCTGACTTTATGCAGTAGAGGATGCCAAGAGCTAGTCTCTGTTCCCTTGATGTCTGTTGACCAAGTAGCAAACAACCCAAGTGCCCTGCAGTAATCCATCCAACCTGTGAAATGCAACATAACCAGGGGCGTCCCTAAGTGGGACGGGAATGACTCATTCTGTCCTGTAGAAAGGAGCCTACACCTATGCTCCACAGCACAGGTAGTCCCACTCCTGGCTCACAACACTAAGATGACAGCTTATGTTTGGAGCATATTTGCTTCCTGGATGACCTTTGGCAGCTTAAAGCTAGTTAGTATAAGGTAAATCAAGAATCATTCAAGAAGTTTTATGTGGTCACCAGCCAAAGCT